TATTTTGTACTATTTAGTAAGTAGTGTTTTACGGATAATTGTTTTCACTCTATATGGTATGCACGCTAATAACATATTTTTCTCAAAAGATTGTGCCTGTTTTTCCAATTATGTTTGAGAGAGAKAKATCAAATTTTCTACCTGCTCTACCAGTTMCTACCTACGATTGCAAATAATGAATATTTAATATATTGGACCAGAAATCACACGTCACGAATTTTCCCGCGAAAGTGAAAGCGGAACATGACATTGACTAGATACGTCACTATTTTGTTGCAACAAAAATAATGCACAAATAACAGTGAATGGATTTCTGTTCTTAAAGGAAATTCATTTTCATATAGTGGCTTTAATATATGATTTTCCCGTGTGTTATTACGCTGTTCTTAACCATCTCGTGTGTGTATCGCCTCATCAGATGTTGTCGTCACGTGGTTTTAAKGCCAAGATACTGTATTTCCGGTTTATKTTAACCACACCGGGGAGGTAAGGGGGCAATGATTTGCTCTTTGGTTGAACTATAAAACCATAATATATATATATAAACTCAAATCCTCATAAAATATTATAAATATTGATAACGCTGAAGAATAAATAAAAGTAATGTTGATATGTAAACTACGAGCATTTGAATTAATAAGATCTATTTAATTGACCCTCCCTCCCTAGATAAGAAATATTGGTTACTGGGCAATTTTACTCGGAGCGAGTTCAAAATGGCGAAGTGAAGGGTGTTCTAGATGRACACTTCGCAAATTTACCTGTTATTTTAGTCCTATTYCTACMATGTAARCAGTCCAAAAACCCAACAYATAGAAGTAGATTCATAAAAATAGAAAATGAAYTACTTTAAAGGGTTAGTTTCTAACRTGCGTGGATTTTACAGCGAGATAAACTCAGCGACTTTGACTGGAGCCATTGATGTGATAGTCATACGACAAGAAGATGGGTCGTTCCTTGGCTCGCCTTTTCATGTGCGCTTTGGAAAACTTGGAGTACTACGAAGTAGAGAGAAAATTGTAAGTCCTAACTGACTCTCTAATGCACACACAAACTGTGTTTATGTTTACTGCTTGTAGAAATTCTACGTCTACTTCGTTTAGGGAAAATAAAGCCAAGGTCACGAGAAAAAGAAAAGATACTSTCGAAAGTTTCCAAATCTTATTTATACTGTCGTGTTTTATTGAGTTTTTTTTGGAGTAAATTTTTATCCTTTATAGAAGCACTATGTATAGTAAGATGAAATCCTAGGATTCATAAATAATTGTTATATTTTTTACTAGATTCCACAAAAACCTCAAAGACCTGCCTGTTTAGTATTTTGGAGCAATGGCGTCATAGCGAATGTTATTCCTCATAAACAAAACACCTAGAATTCCTCCTTGAGACAAATTTTAAGAAGATATTGATAAAAAATAGATAACTGGATTTTTTGTTTAATTTTAAAAGTCCTAAATTAGGAATTTAAGACTCTATTTTCCCTATGCATGTAGTTCATCACGAAACTCCACACTTTACATAGTCCATCTGCTTAAGATTTGAGTTTCATTTTAAGAAATGGAGATAAATTTTTAAAAATATTTTTATATTACATAAACTTCAAGTATTTCAAAATTGGCTCCATTAGGACAACCTCTATGGATTTTTACTGGAATTATCACAGATATAATAATTATGATTTTAGCTAGTTTCTTTTATCGTAGGTCTCAAAGTCATATCATGTGACATGGTTTTAAGACCCCTCAACAAAAACTGTTTACCTTGTGGTAATTGTTATGTCAGTGATTAATGAATAAAGTTTGCTGATTGGCTACCGTGACACACCTCCCCATACACACCCCATCAGCTGACTGTTACCATAGCAACAGCTCAAGGACTGCTATTTTAAGCCTCCTTTTCTTTTCAAATTGGTGTCATTTAAACTGTTGTMTTGTGCACCTAAATTGTGATTTATTTTATTGCCAATGGTAATTTCCATTTCAAACATTTGTAAATAAAAAGAAATTTTTTTTTTGAATTATTTTTTTCATTAAATCATAAAAAGTATGATAGAGTTAAGGTATGCAATCCCAAAAATCATTGAAGCAGAGATGAACAAACAAGCCAATTTGTTTTKGATTATTTTTTGTATCTCTGACCATTCAACCACTAAATCACAAGAAGTAAATCAGTCTTCCTTGACTTACCCTGAAATGACCTCTGGGCTGATCAAAGTCAGTGCACAGTATATTAAATTGGAATTTAGTTTTTCAGTCGTATGCAGATAGAGAAAACTGTAGACTGAAAAAAGGACAATGTAAAATTTATTTTTGCTGTTGACCACTGCAAGAACTGTACAGCAGTGGTGTAGCTCAGCAGGGTCAAACCACTTTGAATAAGTTAGGGTTAATTTGAGGGAAGAGAGGAAAAATTGGGAGAGCCAGAAAATCTCTCAGAGTCAGAAAAGGAACCAACCAATTCAGCTCACTTGGGGCAATTGGGATTCGAACCCAGGACCTCAGAGGTGAGCGGCAAGCATTTTACCACCATGCCATCCTGAATTACCCTTGCTGTATGGAGTAGAAGAGATAACTAGCTAAAARCTAGTGTGAGCTGCATCGGTATTTCTAATGTAACAGTAATGATAAAAAGGTAAATTATACATCGTGAAGAGATGAAAAAACTTACTGACGTTTCGGACACTAGTCCTTCATCAGGGGTAAAAGAGGTGGAGTAGAGTTCATTTTAAAAATAAATAAAATTTTATATTGTGCAATTTCTTTGTGTTTTGTAGGTTGATATTATGATAAATGGTGAACCAGTTGATCTTCAAATGAAACTTGGAGATGCTGGTGAAGCATTCTTTGTGGAAGAGGTAGAAGAGCCTTCAGAACTGCCAAGAGACTTGATAACGACTCCCATTCCTTCATCAACCAGTCTTATAGATAAGATTGAAGAACAAAAGGTTCGTATGCTACRAGCATTTTTTCTTGAGATTTTTCTCATCACAAGTTGAAATCTTAGATTGCAGGATACTACTATTTTCATAAACATGCAAACTCAGTAACTGCAAGCTTCAGGCAGAAGTTTGGCTTTTTGCTGCCATCAACCAAAACTATCTTCATTACCTTTTATATTTTTGACTGGCGGCAGCRAAAAACCAAATTCCAGTGTGCAGCTTRCAGCTACCAAGTTTGCATGTTTATGGAAATGGCAGTTAAAGATGTAGCTGAAATTCAGGGATACAACACAGAACTTATTTAAGAAATAATAGAAATGGTCAATRAAAAGGTTGGGTCTTGAGGTCCAGTACAAAATATCTAAAATAAACCTTCAAGAATTCAAATTTAATCAAACCGGTAAACAAGCTCTGAGCTGATGTACAGTAAGTTGTAAGGCTGGCCTAGGGAGTAAAATTCAGCTTGTTGGGTTAAATTTGTGGAGGGAGGAGAACCAAAGAGCTCAGAGAATCACCATCAAAGATAAATCTTTGTGTGGTTTATTTTTTCTCTTAGGATAAGGAAGAAGCCAGCCTGGAAAATAAAAGTGAAACAACAACAGATGACCAGAATGAGACATTGGAATCCCCTGCCACACAAGAATCTAATATAAATAAAGAATCTGAAAAACTAGAGMCTCCAGAAAATGAAAAACAAAAGCAAGTTCAAACAGAAATATTAGCAATAAAAAATGATAAAAATAYTGACATAGAGAAATCAAAAGACACCAAGAGTGAAGTTGTAGAAACAAATGAAAAAATGGATGAAAATCAGGATGACAAAATATTAAATGGAACTGAAGAAACTATAAAGGAAAGTGACAACCTGGAAACCAAAAAAGAAGAAGAACAAGTAGAAAGTACCTTAGATGTTGAAAAAGAAGACCATATTGTAAAAGAAGAGCCCAAGGATAGTGATGCTAGTGAAAAAGCAATAGATGTACCTGGACAAAAKCGAAATACTGATTCAGGAAACACTTCAGATGAACTTGATACAACTGTTACACAGGTACTGTAACAAGAAATTTTTACGTAATACCAGGGGTTTCTAAGGATAGGGGATCAGAGAATACTCCAGTATTAAACTGGCTTAAACTGGCTTAAACTGCCATGAGGTCGTGGTTCAAGCTGCGCCAACACTCAGGGTCTTGAAATGACTGAGGAGAACGTGCTGCCTTTGTGATTACATCTGCAAATGGTTAGACCTTAACGTGGCTCAGATGATCATGTTAATGGCAACCCGTCCCTAATTAACTAGGGACGTTAACAGAGGACCTCAAGTTTATCAGTTGAATTACTGGCAAGTGTTATCCTCTATAAACAAAGATAATTTAATTTTTTAATTTAATTTAATTATGTTGCATTTGTTATATTTTGACAGGAAGATGAACTCAGTCATTCGTATTCACAAAGCATCCCTATCCCAGGACGACAAGTGGAAATGTACCCTGAAAGTGATTCAAATGTAAGCATTTATGCATCCATTTATACACCTATTAAACATCCACATTAAAGAACATTTGTTGCTGTATTTTACAAATAAAACAGCTTTTTCTATGCTCTGTTCAGTAATACATACATGTAATGCAAACTGGAATAATTATTGATGTAAACACAAAAACGTGAAGAGTACCATGAGACATGGGCAAGTGCTTCTAACACTTCTTGAGTGCTTTTGGCACTTCCTAAATGCTTCATTACKTAAAGAAGAAAGTAAGAAAGCTGTTTTAATTGTTTGTAATATATACAGTATAAGTGGCCGTGTTATATCAGATATACAACYACAAGGCGTAACCAAGTGATTGTATATCTGATACAACACGGACACGAATACTGTATATGACTTATCAAACGTCTAAGTTAGTTCCTTTGTGTTTCACTAAAATTTTCAAAATTAAAGTGAATTTGGCCAAGAAAATCCAACTTAAAGTTTATGCAAATGAACACAGTTTTGTATCAGATTTACAACACTCTTCGCAGTTGTGATTTCTCTTGTGTTTTCTCATGAATTATTAATGAGTTTGATAATATTATTTAGAAAGAAAATATGTTGTATTTTTTGATACTGTCTTACAATAATTGTATTGCTGTGCACACACAGATGGCATCTGCAATCATGCTTTATTCACTAATAAAGCACAGTTCTCAACCAATCAGACTGCACACACTATCTAATAATGGTCTACAAAATATATTCCAATAATTCTTTTGGCCATTGAATAGCTTATCCACTATCTATCCACTATCTCAGGCTTGGACAACCTAYGTTATCATTATATGCTAAGCAACTCTAAGATAATTGTTTAACTTTCTTTAGTGGATGACAGACTCTACATCATTACCCAAAGAAAATGAGTTTATCAGAGACCACAGATACCCATTGTCTGATTTAGACTCTCCTATAGGCACACCTCCAGATCCAAGGTAAGATCTGCCACTTATAGTCTGCTGTGGAGTGGATAGTGGGTGCAACACTGTGTGTGCAACTAGAACTCTCACATAGTGCTTTCAGGTTAACACTGTAAGGTGTTTGCAACCACAAGGCCCATATAATCCCTCCCGTTAGCAGGCACAGAAAGCCTGCTGGTCCAAGTCAGTCTGCATAGTCACTGGGGGTAGATGATGGTACACAGTTAGGTGTGTACAACCACAGTGCCCACATAGTGTTTGCAGGTCCAAGCCAGTCTGAATAATAACTAGGGGTAGATGGCGCTACATGGTTAGGTGTGTGCAGCCACAGTGCCCACATAGTGTCTGCAGGTCCCAGCCAGTCTGCATAGTCACTAGGGGTAGATGGTGCTACATGGTTAGGTGTGTGCAACCACAGTGCCCACATAGTGCCTGCAGGTTCAAGCCAGTTTTCTGCATAGTCACTGGGGGTAGATAGTGCTACATGGTTAGGTGTGTGCAACCACAATGCCCACATAGTGTCTGCAGGTCCAAGCCAGTCTGCATAGTCACTGTGGGTAGATGGTGCTACATGGTTAGGTGTGTGCAACCACAATGCCCACATAGTGTCTGCAGGTCCAAGCCAGTCTTCTGCATAGTTGTGTGCAACCACAAGCCTTACTTATTCCTCCAGATACAGCAAATACAATGAAACCCTCAGGACCCATGATTTCTAATGTGTATTCTTTTACAGGGATAAGCACATGCAACACTTGAAGCCATTCAACCCTCAATACTGTCTGAGTGACACAGAAGCAGAAATACAACAAAGTCAAGATAGTATCAATGTTGATAATGAAGTAACATGGGACTGGGGCAAGCTGCCAAAGGTATGTGAAAATATCCCATTTATGTGCTTATGGTATAGATGTTATTGGATGATGAGGTGTAGGTCACTGATAGTACAGGGCTAAAACTAAGGGCCAGTCAGTGTCCAATGTCCTGCCAAATGCTGAGCTGTTTCTCTTGACCAGTCAAATCCAATACTCATTTATTGCTCAGTGGCAAGTCATCATGTCCAGCCATTGACCAGCCATGATTTTTTGTGCTATAATGCTAATGATAACCTAGTTGGTGGATGGTTTGACAATTTTCCTTCAAATTTAGAATAACCTTTACCATTACCTTTGACAATTCTATTGCTTGTTATCCTAATGCAAAATCAAATTTCAAGTATTTTAACAATGAATACTCTTCTTTATATGACAGGGACCAGAAAATGGATTTGTCCAAGAACGAAAACTCAGTGGTAAGTAGTGGTTTCTGTTAGCATTGGGAATACATGCTCATGGAAGCATTACCACTGCCTAGTTCATAGATGGATTTGGGGGCGTGGGGGTGGTGGGGGGAGCAGACTTGGTAGCTAACCTTCCACCAAATGATATAGACAAACATTACAAAATGTAATAATACAAAGAAAGATCRATAAGACCTTTCTTGGAATCTGTCATACCTTCCTCTACCCTTCCCAAAAGTAAGGAAAATAATAAAGATAATAATGGAAAGACAGTGCATTTCACATTGTCTCAATGTGCTTTACATTTGTGATCAGTGGAAGACTATACAGGCTGCATATTAAGACGCTAATAGTAGCCAGGCAGCTTACAATTATAATTAATGTATTGTTGGTATCTTTGTATTGTACCTCCAAATAGACCTCCTCGGCTCTGGAGCGCTCAAGCGTAATGTTGTCCCATTTCAGACCACGTGTCATTCCCTTGAGAATAATAATCTTTGTTGGAGTTGTATCCATATTCATGTGTCTTCTCATGTGCAACCGTGGCAAACCTCAAACAAAGAAATRATACTCTAGGGAATGACACATGATCTGAAATGGGAAAACATTACGTCAGAGCCGAGTAGGTCTATTGGGTAGATGTCCTGGATCCATCGTTACAGTTTCCCCAATCACATCATGGTTCCTGACTCAAATATTATATTACAACTGTATTGTGATTCTTAGTTTTACTTTTGTATGCACAGAACACAAAAAAGAAGAAACTAGCCATGGTTATAGAAGCAAAAGAAAAGATCCCTACAAATCCCATAAGGTAATGAAGAATAAGTATGGGGAGGGTATAACTTAACATCGAGTTCCCTYGATGAGCTTTTGCTCTTGGGACAAACCATAAAATTAATGGGTCAAAATAAAAAATGATAAAAAATGATATCATACATATGATGTTGCATAACTATGATAAAAATAACGGTATAGATTTATTTTTCTGGAACACATGAAAAGGATGAATGGGACTTGTGCACTGCCAATGGGCTATGTCTTATGTTCATCGGTCCAATCTTTGGAGACACCCTCTCTCTTGTTGGCTCTCCTGTATTCAAAGGCTTTTCCCCTTAGCTTTCATGTTTTGTACCCTCCACAAAAACCAACTTTTAAATCTATATTGATTTTTGATCCTCTAAAGAACTTGTCAGCTGATTTATAAAACCCTTCAGCTTTCTATTCACCTTCAGAGTGATAAAGATATTCACCCATCCATTTGTCCTTCCCATTGTACATTTTATTCATTCATTTGTTAACTTTTATAGATTAAAGAAGAGGGTATTTATCTAGATGATCTCAATTCTATTGATCAAGAARTAGCAGCACTTTACCTCAACCAAGCTTTGTAAGAATATAACACATTTAATGCTCTCATTATTCTAGTGTACCTCTACCTGTTTTCTCCGCTTTTTTCTTTTAAAATTTACAAGAACAGAGACCATGGAGAGGAAAAGGCACCTTCAAAATGCTGATGTTTACCAAATTTTCAAGTCTAGGCTTTCAGTTATACTCTTATCCATACTAGTCTAGATACTATATTTGCCATGTTATCTTACTTTTGGCTTTTAGCAAATTGTGCATTAATCACTGCCAGGTCATTCTAGCTTCTTGAGAATTTTTCTATCTATCCAGTGGCCAATCTAAAATCTTGGTAATAAGGGCAGGTTGGGGGGGGGGGGGGGGGGGGGGGGGGACTCAACAAAATTGCTGATATTTGTCCTATTTGGTTGATATTCAAAGGACATCAAGAGATGATAAAATAAAAGGACAACTGGATTCACAGATCACTGAAGACAGAGAATCTGGTATAGGACAGTCTCTTCCTAGTTCCCCTACATTAGATCTTATAGGCACTAAATATCCTGGGTAAGTCATTCAGCCACAAATGCTTATCTTATGAGAGTGATTTATTTAATAATTAATATTAATAATTTCATTACTATTAATAGACAATATTAGACACTTGGTCATTATAAAATTATAAATCTCGCGTTCTGATTGGTTGGGAGCATGTGCTTTATAGGAGAACACAGCACGCGTGCAAACTCAGTTGCGTCATTCCTTTCCTAAAAAACGGTTATTGAAATTTGTATTTTATAAAAGAAAAAAAACTTGCTTGCTGTGCTGTGTGGAGTTATAAAGCATTTGGGGATTGGCAGAACACTGGAGAAGTGTCGAGAAGCATTCCGCTACGCATCGTGCTTCTTCTAACCCTTCTCTCGTGTTCTGCCAACCCCGCATGCTTTATGACTGCACACAGCACACACACGCATTTTCTATTTCTTCAATAGACTATGATTATTAACGTTGTTTGACAGCTTCTAACAAAATTGCATTACTCTTTCTTCAGATCTGAGAGCACTTATAGTAACTTTGCAATGTCTCTCTGTGGAGATCTCAAAAGTGGAAAAGTTCCTTTAGGTAATGATAATAATACATGTATAAATCATATTCTTTAAAAAGTAGCACAAGGAATGCTGCATAATTTTCAATGCAAATTTCATTGATCAATAATTTTAAAGGCAGGGCTTAAATTATTAAGAATTGGAACTTGCCAGTCATTTTGACCAGTAATATTCTGCCAGAGATGAGATATGACTGTGAGTGAGTGAACTTGGGTGGTGATCATTACCAGGAGACTGACTGCCCATTATTTTAAGCCCTGTAAGGGAATACGGGGGAGCTTATAATTGTGTCTCTAATATATTGCAACAGCATTAATGAGACATGGTATAAAACCCTCCACAATCTTAACTACAGATTMTGTACTGTCAAATACAAATTATCCTCAAATATGGCACTGACAGCAGTCTAGAATCCCCATGCTTCATGGTTTCTTCCCCTCATCCACATCCACACACACCTGCCTCCAATCTCACCCTGTTGACATTGTGTTTTTGGATTCCAGAGAGTTTTGTCAGTAGCCAGATAACATATGACGACCTGTCATCCAACCCTACTCTTCTTAACGACCCTAAACTGGTGATTAGAATCAATGACAGGTAAGTACTGGCATTTACAACTGCGTATGAATGTTGAGGCTTTACAGTCCTTTTGTTTCTCTAGTAGGTAACCAGTCATTTCGCCCACGGACCATTTCGCCCACGTCAATTCGCCCACGCATAAAATCATCGATCATGCGTTTGCCAATTCGCCCACGTGTAGAACCACTTTAAGAAATATGTTACCATGACTAAAAAAAGGCAGTTCGTGATTTACCAATCGGTACCTACCAACCCTACTTGACGCTTAAGCTCAAGACTTCAAAACGCGAACTTTTTATACGANACGACCCTAAACTGGTGATTAGAATCAATGACAGGTAAGTACTGGCATTTACAACTGCGTATGAATGTTGAGGCTTTACAGTCCTTTTGTTTCTCCTCTAGTAATAGACTCGTCACATAACTTAACAATAATCGTTTTCTTAATCTACATCCAATAAGCCTTGATCATCTCTTTACAGATATTATAATTGGCAGATTGCAGCTCCAATGCTAATGTCTTACCTTATGTTCCAGAGGCCATTGAAACAGGTAACTGTAAACTTTAGTTGTGACATAATAATTGTTTGTACTGTTCATTAGTTTTTTGGAGACTGGTGATGGTGATGAAGATGAGGTTGAGAATAATGATGATGGTGTTGATGATCATGTTATGGTAATGGTGATACTGGTTTTGTGATACTAATGATGATGAGGCATGTACACTTCCAGATAAATAACTGTATTTTGTATTCATTTTCTCTTTTAGGAAACTGTTCAGTCATTAGTAAAACAGCACATGCCGAAGAAGGTAGGAACGAAAATTTCAATGCTAAAACAAAATCTACTACTGTACTACTTGGGTGAAATGTCTTCCCATCTCAGACCACTAGCCATCTCTTTGAGATTGATAGAATAGAACCCAGCTAATGTATTTTCCCATTTGTTTCTGGTGAATAAAGAAATCATACTCGGGGATCTATTTCAGACTTATAGAAAAATGGTGTTTTGAATTTTTCTTTTCAGGAAAAGAGGAGAAGTTATTATTGGTTCTCATGGAGGCCAAACTATGAAGAACAGGTACTTTAAATAGTTTAATACCGAAAAATTGTGGTTGTAAGCCCTGGGTTTATTGACAACTCTTAAAACTCAAGTGTTTGCAGGCCTAGCCACACTTCTGAGTTCAGCAAACAAAAGCAGAAATTAGAATAACAAAAAAAGCAACTCCTGGATTTGAGGCTAAGCCCACATACGCAGGAATTTTAAGAGTCGTCAATACTCATTTGCTTTTCTATAAACATATGACTGGGGGGGGGGGGTTGGGGTGTTGTGAGATGAAGAGGGAACAGTCATTTACTTCTTTATCTTCTATATCATACTATGTAAGAGTATTTTAATTATCAATTGAGAAGGTTTTCTATCAAATGTTGCTCATTATAAATGCAAAGTCTATATATAGGAATTAACCGGGTTAATAATAATGAGGGTTATAACAAAAATAAAGCCTTGTGAATAGCAAAGAAAACCTGGCCTGGAGCGCCCATAACCTGGAGTGCTTACAACCAGGATTTTACAGTAGCTGAAAAACTATGTTAAATGATATTTTTACAGGATATATCAGTCAAAATTTGTTAAGAATAACATAATGATTACATTATTGACCACTTAAGTCCTCAGATGAAGAATTTGACCTAGTAAATAACAAACCTGGGCGTCCACGAGCACACAACAACCTCAGAAAACAACACACAACAACACCAGTGAATGGCTCCTACTCCAACAACGACCTAACACTGATCACTGAGCCACATGAAGAAACTAGCAACCAATGGCAAAGGCAGAGAAATGTTTCCGAATGCAGTGGAAATGAATCAGATGTTGCATACAAAAAGTCTACAAGATTGAATTCTGAGAACTTGGTAAGAAAGCTTTTTAAAGTCTATCCTAATATACCCCATTCACACCACACCTTTGAACATATTTCAAAAGTTGTTTTATCAAACTAGTGGCCATACACGCCACGCATACAGTAAATGCCATCTTAGAAATTTGGCCCCTAAAACAGTCCCACAATGCATTGCAATACCAATTCAACCCAATTCAGAATGGCTAATTCAATAATTTGTTGGAATATTTTTTGGACCCTATTCGTACTTGTCCAGGAAATTGCTTTTATTGCTCATTTAATTCTATTTTCCAGGCAAAGCTTAATCTTCATGATGGAGCAAATAGTATACGTTTTTCAGTTACTACTAAATATCAGGTGAGAAATACTCTAATGTGCTGATCAATAATTTTGGTTGTTGTATTTCTATTTCTATTTCATTTATTTATTTGTCTGTTTGTTTTTTATCAGGGTACAGCAGAGTGTCAAGCTACAATATATTTATGGAACTATGATGATAGGATTATCATCTCTGATATTGATGGTACTATTACAAAGTAAGTCTATTATCGAGGGATTGTTAAAGTATTACCCAGGAAAAGCCTTCTTAGTGCATGAGATGAAGAAATAGAAAATGCACCGCATCCTGTGGGCAGTTATAAAGCACCCAGGGATTGGCGGAACACAAGAGAAGTGTTAGGAGAAGCACAGCATGTAGCAGCGTGCTTCTCAAAACTTCTTGAGTGTTCTGCTAATCCCAAAGTGCTTTATAACTACACAAACAGCACAGCAAGCAAGTTTTTTATTTCTTTTATAAAAAAACAAATTACAGTAACTGTTATTTTGGATAYGAATGACAAAATAGAAAGTACAAACGCGTGTGCTCTGTTTGCTCTCATAAAGCACATGCTCCCATCCAATCAGAATGAAATTCATAACAGATATTTTATAATACTTATTATTGAATTTTCTCTCTCCCTATACAGATCAGATGTGCTAGGACAGATTCTGCCTGTTGTAGGACAAGCTTGGGCACAATCTGGTGTCGTAAGTATTTTATCATCAATATCATTAAAACAGTACCAGCTCCTTCCAACGCTGCCACCATCATTGCCATTTATTATCTATCATCACCAGCACATCCCTGCATCTCCACTTACATATTTTTGAGGGGCATCATGTGCGCTACTGGAAATAAAGTGATATATACAGCACCAGCTCCAACAATTCTTTTATTCTAATCATTTGAAATTTATTATCTTCAATCTCCCCTTTAGTATCATTAATAGCCTCCTCTTCCCCCACCAACATTACCATCATTATCATCATCGTTGTCATTACCAAGAAAACAAAAATAACACATCCTTATCCCATGTTTATTTTAATTTCTTCCTTTCCCGTTTTTCCATTTTCATAGGCACACTTTTTTAGCTCAATAGATAGAAATGGATATAAACTGCTGTATCTGTCAGCAAGAGCTATTGGGCAGGTATGTATCCACTTTATCTTTCGTCCTTCATCTTTAGAAATGTTCATAGAATAGCATGAAGAAGAAGGTAGGAAAATGGGAGGAATGCAGCTTTTCATATCCATTTATTATTTCTGGAAGGAGAATAGGTGAAGAATATTGTATCAAGATTAGACTTGATCAAATACAGTACAAGTATGAAAACATCAAGTAAAATCTTGACTTGAAGCCATTGCTTCATGTCCACTCAAGCGAATTCAGGAAAGGTTTATTGGAGAGTGTTCTATTCAGGACTGAAATCCCTACCCACCACTCCCCCTCTGGGTAATTTATTGATCTTTGTCTTTGACATATTAACAGGCCCAATTGACAAGAGACTATTTAAAGAGTGTTAAACAGGACCAGATCACCCTACCTGATGGTCCTCTCTTATTATCACCTGCATCACTTATCAAAGCCTTCCACAGGTAAACCATTATTCTTCAAAAATTGATAAAACCCTTCACAGTTCCCTGCGCCATCTTGAACTAGCATACTGGCAAATAAAAGAAATAATACTCAAGGGAATGCACTACTTCGTCGATACAGTGGCCATCTTGGATGGCAATGCATTATAGGGGGTCCAGGGGGCAAATAAAGCTTTGTTACAGTGAATGAAGTCGATTGATTAACAGCTTACCAGAAGAGAATACAACAAAAGATGAATTAAGACGGCACATCGATCATCTCATCCCATAAAAAAAAAACACAGACAAACACACGAAACTCTATATATTTTCCATCATCTTTCCTCTCTTTTGCCCCCTGGCAAGATGGTCGGCATATCATCGAAGTAGTCCATTACAGGTCTCTCAGAGTTAAGTAGATCTGGACAAGAACACAAGTTTACCAACGATATCTTGGACTATGCCTCGAGACTGCTGCATAGGCAATGGCATCTCTTGCACAGATATTTGAGCTGTAATTAAGATACTCGTTTTGATTTGTAGGGAGGTGATAGAAAAGAAACCAGAGGAATTTAAGATTGCTGCTTTAAGAGATATTCAAAGCTTGTTTCCTTGTAAAAACCCATTCTACGGTGGATTCGGTAACAAAATTAATGTAAGTATRATCAAGGAAGACACATTTTAAATAATTAATTTAATTTAAAAATGAGATCGTGTTTCGTGACAAGTTAAACGAGTTGTTTCGTCTACTTTAGGATGTATTATCATATCGTGCAGTTGGTGTGTCATCGTCTAGGATATTCACAATTAACCATAAAGTAAGTCTACCTCAATAGCGAGCGAGTGAGTGAGTGAGTGAGTGAGTGAGTGAGTGAAGGCTATAAAGGGAAAATCTAATGTTTCAGTTAATATGAATGGCCACGTGAGAAAGGTCTTGTGTGACCCCTCCAGTGTAAATATTCCAATTAACCAGGCTAATCCATCCCACCCTACCCCACTTCACCTCTCGCCTCCTGGGCCTTGGGTACCTCCTGAACTTAGCATCGTATGTGAGATTGTTTGGTCTTCCCTTCAATTCGAGGGTTTTCCACTTTTCCTCCCTCTACAAAAACTAAAATGCCAAATACCAATTCAATCTTAGATGTCAAATCTTAGATGATAGAATTAATTATTGTAATAATGGCTTCTATTTGTATTATTTCTTACAGGGAGAGGTCAGAAATGAGCTGATAACGACCTTCCAATCCTCGTGAGTACAAAAATCAAGTAAAGCAATGAGTAAAATCATGTAAAAAGAGCAGTGATCACGCGCGCTTATCATGCAAAAAGAGCAGTGGTCACGCGCGCTTATCATGCAAAAAGAGCAGTGATCACGCGCGCTTTTTACCAACACTTTTAAGATCCCTTTTTTGGTTGTTTGGCATTTTTTCTCGGTCATTTCCCATCCACTTTTCCATTTAATTCCAATTTTTTCAGAAAATCYCCAAATTTTCTCTGTCATTTCCCACAATTTCATTAATTTTAAATTCTCTATCGTTTTCGTTTTCTCTTTTTATTTTCTCACTACCCCTGAACAAAATACTTCTCCCTCCAACAATGATTATTTGTCCTTTGTTACAGATATTTACGACTAAGCGACTTAGTGGACCATATGTTCCCACCCTACAAAAAGCATGAGTCCATGAAACATTCCGCTCTCGTAGCCCCTGACGAATTCAGCTCCTTTACGTACTGGAGAAACCCCCTTCCCGAGATAGACCTGTCTGAGATTGTAACACTTACGGAACAAGATGAAACTGCACCTACAGCTTAGAACAAGGTAAGGGGATGGATAACTTGTAAAAATCTAATCTACGGCCAGAGCCTCTAAGGATTGTGGTAAACGTGACGGTTACCGTACGTGACGGTGCCCAGTCCAGGCATAGCATTTTTACTGGATGAGTTGTATTAAAGTCCCTCGCTGTGATTGGTTAAACAGATACCTTCACTTCCGTGACGGTGTCACGTATGTCGTAACTTTAACTTAGATTCCATTGACCGTCAAAAGGCTTCATTATTCTTTTTAATTGGCTCAGAGCGGATACCATTTCATATTCACGATATGTGTGTTTGCGCTATTTAATGAAAAACACGCAAACGCGAAAAAAACATGTCATTCGGTTGATCACTATGTCAGTGAGATACGCTAATGGTACGAATAGACCATCGAGCTTGTTTTTCTATAATTGAAACGCAGATTAACTTCGGAAAGAAAAAAAAATGTTTTGTGCAATTATGAATCGTTGCGGCGTTTGCAGCCTGAATGTTGAGGTTTTCCCAATCTTGATAGTCATCTTACTATTTTTTCGTTAAAGATTCGGGCACATTTCTCTTTTTTGTTAATAATATTAATTGCATTTTCAAGATTTTATTACCCGTCAGGTGTTGTTTTAAGTGTCTCCGTTATTTTTCCATGATAAAGATAAAGATTACAAAGGTTGTTTATATAGCGCGATACGAATACTTAAAAAACGTCAAAACATTCAATTGTCTGGTACAACAGCAGGCGACAATAGTCTCTTGATGTCACTGAGTATACACACTCCACGGGGTTCCTGCAATACATCCTAGTCTAAAGTCTACGAGATCGGTCGAAAGCATCCTGTCTCCTTTTTATTCATTTATTTATTTTTTTGATTAAGCTCATCGTGGGAGATTACACAGAACATAATTACAATGTTTTTGGAGTTTTTAGGAAAAATTAAAATTAAAAATAAGTTTACTATGATATTAGCAAGAAAAAAAAACATGTATAGAAAAAGTACAATGGAGATTACATCGTGGGAGATTACAAGTAACATATTAGAAAGAAAAGAAAAAACATATATATATAGAAAAAGTACAATGAAAAAGAAAATATATCAACTTAGGAAATCTAGAACAATTGTGGGTTCAGGATTCCTTGGAATCTGGATCATAGAACCTGGAACAAGGAATCTGGATCGTGAAATCTGGACTGGACCATGGAATCTGGATCATGAAATCTGGATCATGGAATCTGGATCATAGAATCTGGATCATAGAATCTGGATCATGGAATCTGGACCATGGAATCTGGATCATAGAATCTGGATCATAGAATCTGGATCATGGAATCTGGATTGTGGAATTTTTAAATTGTAAACAATGTTCGATTCCGTATCTTGGATAGTTGGAGGTACCGATTTGGATGAACGCCGGATTTTGAAGTTCCGATGTTTCAAGATCCAAAGCATTTTACGCGGATTCCGAAAAGAAAATTCCCGCTTCAAAGTCACCCAATATCTATTGAAATCAAACCTTAYGAACACTTAACCCCGCGTAACTCTTACCCCAAGATATCTACACTTTCAACAAGTCGGAACACATTTTAAAAAGCTGGTTATATATCGCAGTTGGAGCAGATGTTGTTTATAAGTGCAATGTGACCTAATTTTAGACCGAACATAGCCCTTTTTGGATTGCGGTATTTTAATTGCGATGACATCCTGTACTTATAGTGTTTTTTCACTGATTCAGATTGTTTTGACAGTTGTGTTGAATCCAATGGATATATTAGGCCAGAAAAGTTGGGAATACATYCATATTGAAGTCGTCGAATAATCCTGGCACCAAATCAACTAATTTGCTTTCTATTGATATTTTGAATCGTCTGCATTGATGACTCTGTATTGAGCGGAGAAAACACACAGTATCATGTTAACGAATGGCTTCCCAATTGAAACACTGATTGGATAATGCARATGTGTTCGTGCGTTGTGATTGGTCTATACTGGAAGCCATTTGAGTRTCATTACCGTATTTCATCCCAAGGCTTCCTAATTTAAGCACTGWGATTGGATGATGTGTGTGTTCGAGCGTTGTGATTGGTCTATACTGGAAGCCATTTGAGTGTCAGTACCGTATTTCATCCCATAGCTTCCTAATTTAAGCACTGTGATTGGRMGATGTGCATATTCGTGCGTTGTGATTGGTCCAGACTGGAAGCCATTTGAGTGCCTATATCGTATCTTATCACAAGCAAGGTCTTGAATTTCTTTTATGTTATCTCTTGCAGAAAAAGGCAAGTGAAGATTTCTTGCGTCTATTTCCCCTGAACCAAGAATTATAAATATAAATGAGCAATAATAACAATATTATTAATAATGACTAAATTAATCTATACTATTCATATTAATATTGATTTTAGCTAAGAACGTTTGATTTTTCTATCACATCGAGTTATTTTYATGAAAAGTCTATATTATATGATTAGACTAGTTAATTCTGGCTTATTTTTTTGAGAAATGAAGTGAAGTAAAGACGTTAGAGGTCCAGACTGAAGGAGGTCTGAGATCGGACCCAAACATCTTTACAATGGCTCTTGAAAAATAAGTCAAAGTCAACAAGTCTAATTAAAATTAACTTAAACATATCTCAGGGGGGAAAATAAGTAAGATCAAAAACACAATTTGTGCAACCCTCTTCGTATGTTTGAGTCACTCAGTACCAGTCTCTCGCGCCAGTCCTTCAAGGAATACAAAACGCTGTGTCTTTTATTGTGATAAAAATTCTGTATTTCTTATGGCTTTTACGACATTCCTGTCCTCTCCCCCAAGGGTTAACTCGATCGCCTACCCAGAGAGTGAGGGTTGGGCAAATAGTGTACTGTTATYGCGTACTAGATTTTTGCTGGTCAAAATCTGGGCTCTGGCGAGTCATTACGCTTAACAGTACTGTACAAGCTTTACTGGAAGAAAAGATATTTCGTTTTATCAAATTAATGCTCAAGTTTTTCGGCCTTCTTCGTTTCCCATTGTAGACCCTTTCCTTGATGGCATGCTTTTCTAGACATGATTGCTACAAATAGGCAAGATCTATCATCTGCAAGACAGCTCAGTCTAATCGTTTATTCTTACAAAAGAAAAAAAACACCGTGTAATATAGCTATAGTTAACCAAACGTACGAATAAAATGTTCTCAATATGTGTTGGTAGTACATGTTTCTATTTCAACAAGATTTCGTTTTGCTGGAAAAAATAAGGGTTCTCGGGCATAATTTCAGGGCTACACATCTTTGGAAAAGAACAAAACCTGTGATACATTTCAGTCCTTTGTATTTTGCTTTCGAAACAATAAGTTTTATAACGTCATCGAAATAGCGCGCGCTTATCTGAAAACTGTGCATAAAATCCTTATGAAAATAAATTTCTCATGGCCAGCAGCGAGTACTCGTGTTGCTAGGGGTAACACACCACGTGAATATGTAATACGCATGGCCAATTACAAGGAAGGTACTCGGCGCGAGCACAGACCATAAACATTAGGTTTAATGATGTCATGTCTAAATATCCCTCACGAATTTAARCATTAGGGAGRATTAGACTARTCGTCCCTCATGAATATGACCATGAGCGACGATTAGTCCAAATGTCCCTCCTCATCATTCATTAGCCACTCAAGCCTCRGGWGGTTTAGYTAAAGTCTAGACGTCCCAAAACCTTCCTCGGCATTCGGGGAYATTTAATCACTAATCATCCTCAGGTCATGCTATTACTTATAATAAGCAGCGAAAAGTCGTATTGCTAGGGGTAAAACACCACATGTATATGTAATGCGCATGGCCAATTAGAAGTAGTGACCAGAAAGTGCTATTAACAATTAGTGCTTTTTTCTAATTACTGAAATATTCATATTAATTTAAATTATCCATTTACGAGACTCTTTAGGGGGTCGCGGCACATGAACGCTGGTTATCAGCTGCTATCAGCTGCTATATACATGTTATTTTGTTTGCTTTTTACTTTGAGATATGACAAAGAAGATGGTATAAATGGACCATTATTTTCCCTTTCTCAACTCTTGTTAATTGAGAAAACTCCCTTCCCCCTCCCCTCCCCCTCCCTCCACCGTCAGCGTTTTATGAAACGTGAATTGACCGTTTAAGGTTCCTTGAACCGTGGTTCGCACCCTCCCCTCTCCCCTTTTTATTTTTTGTAAAATGTTTTCTCCTTTTCAAACAAAACATATTATTGAGTATTATTTGTTTCCTTGTCGTTAAACCTTCTGAGTGCCCATTAATACGGATGCTATTCTAACAATAATTTTAATTCTAAAAGGCTTTTAATGATGGACCCTTCCAAAAGCATTGAATAAACATATTCTACCTTTAACAGTTTTTAGTTTATGCTTACTTCAAATAACGATCGAAGTATTATTATATTAAGGGTTTGTGCCCCAGAGCACGAAGTTCGAAGACAGCCATGTTGSTTGGCATTTTAAAATATTTCTTTTCTTGAAGGAGATCATTTCTATCATTTTGTCACACAACTCATGGTTTGTATCAACCATTCTATATTGCAGAAATTTTTAAAAAAAATTAAAAAAATAAAAAAAATTAAAACCTTTATCTTTAAAATAAATTTTTCGTCGAGTTCAGAAATATATTTTTTAAATGCAATGACTCTTTGACTTAAAAATGCAAAAYTAAAAATGTTTTTACCAAATTGTTTGACAAAAGGCGCACAGACTAATAGAATTGAAAAACAAATGATGATTCGACAAAATATAACTAGTTTACACAAACCATCATAAACGTTGTCTTGTTTTACTTGACAAGATGCTTTAAATTGATGACTAGATTCTAAATGACGGGCAGTAATTATAAGRATGAATTAATGGTTAAAAGTAAATATTTAAGAAACATCAGTAGAAAACATTCTGMTTGGAAGAAGTCTCGTCTTTTCTTGTGTCGGAAGAGGGAAGGGACGATATAAGTGGTTCCATTTTTTATTCCCTTTTTATTTATTATCATTTTCTCTTTGCCTTGCCTTGCCTTGCCTTGCCTTGCCTTGCCTTTCCTTTCCTCTCTTCTTCAATTAAATGTATGGGCAGCGCCGAAGTAATTTACTACCAATAATAAATAATTCAAACTCTACATATATCATAATCATTGATTTTAGATTTTTAAGCTAACAATTCGATTTTGCTTTCTAGTAGACACAATTTCCCCTGGTGCTGTAATGAGACTCGAAAAATATCCCATTTCCTAGGATGTTCCTGACATTTCTAATTTGTTTCTTCATTTCCTTTCGATCTCTCCACATATCCCTTTCATTTTCCGTACTTTCATTCTCTAATAACATTATATTGTAAACCTATCTTTTTTTTGTCTTTTTTCCTTACTTTTTCCTTCCTTCCTTTACTTATTTATTTAATTTCCTTACTCACTCTCTTTCTTTTTCTCTTTCCTTCTTTCCGTTTTTTTTCTTTCTTTCTTTCTCTAGTCTGCCTCATTTAAAAAAACAAATCTTGTTGTTCTCCAGTTCTGCTAATTACATTTCCCAATTCACAGGCACTAATCTCTTCAAAGTTGAAAGAAAAAATATTTCATTTAAAAAGTGGGGAATTTCCTAAAATAAAAAGCCTACCACTACATCCACATAACGCAAAAAAAAAACCATACGGCATTTTGAACGTGGTTGAAGTTGAGTCGTTCAGATTGAGGCTTATTACAATAGATCAACATCTAGCGAAGATTTTGGGGGAATTCCCAACGATATTATCACTACTTTACGGCAACATTTCTTTTAAATCTTTCGGCAAATGGCCAAAACCGAACGAGTCGATTCTCTTTAAATTTTCTACATCTAAAATGTTTTAAATTGATCCATTAAAATTATTATTATTCTTTCTAGTATTTGAACTCTTCTGCCTGCTTCGTAGATTTCAGTTATATATATCTAACGAATGTTTTTGAAATAYATTATTGGCTATTATTGGTCTCAGGGTATGTACTAACATTGCGGGCTGAACCGAACATYAATAATTTAAGCTGGGAATCTTTATGAAAATGAAGAATAAATTGATTAATCTTGATAACAAATTCTATTTCATTTTTATGCTGTTGTCTACATTTAACTACTTTAAGATTACGATCTTAATGGAAAAATAGAAAATTCTAAGGAAAACCATGTTTGTTTTCGATATCGGAATTCGATATTTGGTACTGAGTTTTGAAGTCATAATCTTGTCATTGTTTATGCTCTCTTTCGGTATATATTTCAAACTGAGCTATTTCTTAATTCATAGAAACAGCTAATGATGCGCGTACAGGTTAGATATTAGAAAAAGAATATTTTCTATTCTCGAAGATTGAAAATGTCGAATTTTAAACAGAATGAATGAAAGAAAGAAAGAAAGAAAGAAAGAATGAATGAAAGAATGAAAGAAAGAAAGAAAGAATGAATGAATGAAAGAATGAAAGAAATACAAACGGAAAAAAAGAAAGAAAGGAAGAAAGAAACGGAAAGAAGGAAAGAGAAAAGAAAGAGAGAGTAAGGAAAAGGAAAGGAAAGGAAGCAAGGAAGAAAGAAAAGAATGAAATAAAGAAAGAGCAAACGAACGAACGAAAGGGGGAAAACCCTCCAAATAACTTCTGCAAAATCAACATATTTTCATTCAGCGATAAGGTTTCGGAGGCAGCAAACAGACCGGCTGACATTCACTAACCACTTATTTGTTAAGTGAGGCTTTACGACAACCAGGTACTTTCACCTCACGGGTCACCTACGGACTGACGGTTCTAAATATATAACACGATTAACCAAYCATGGTCAAAAAATAATTCAGATGTGAAAAGGTCTAAAACGTCTGCAGTTTTCGATGCAAAAATAGATGCTGTGAGATTATCTTTTGAATGTAAGGATCACATCCAGTAAAGCTAGTAACTTCTTCGTTGAGATGTTGTGAAGAGCTTTTTCGGTAATATACGCTGTRTGCTGGGTAGATGTTTGGCGTTTCTGACGTTTTGATTGTTATTTGCATATTTGTGAAAATAGCCGAATAATTAAGATATATGATACTTGAGGTTGTCAAGAGGCATTTCGGTTATGGAATCTAATAAGATGCAGGAAAAACAACTTAAGCTCTTTATACTCTGTTTTGAGCCTTTGGAGTTATCACTCATCGAGTAAAAAATTAGCGAGGCGTTGTGTGGACTGGGAGCTAGTATTTTAAATTGTACACTAAACTCATTGTTGATTTTAAAAAAAAAACATCGCCTTTAATCTTGCTTTAAAAATTTTGAAGCGAAACTTATACCTGAATAATATTGACTCAGTTGCTAGAAGCAGCATATCGTTAGGATTGTTGAAACTCCTTATTTGAAAAGCAAAGCAGAGTCATTTTGCGCGTTGTGGTAGCCAGATGCAAAAGTTGAGACAACCTGTATGTGTGTCAACTTTTGAACAAAGCTGAAAATGCTCTTTTCTAGTTACAGCTACGAGGTCTGCTGGACTATCCATGCTTAGCTATCATAATTCTTCTATCCATTTCGACGTTATCCAAGACTGACTACGAAGTCCTCATTAAAAAAATTTCCATCGTGCGCGCAAGAAAACCCAAGTCGAGCMCCTTGTTACAATACTATGAATATATAGCAACACCCCACCCTTTCATTGTCAAAAAGCGTAACTAAATTTAGCTTTTTTATGCAGTGACAGRTCCTACTTGAAGTTCTTATAAACCAGTTAAAATATTATGAAGTGGAGTAAGTGGAGTATTTATATCAAAAAGAAGAATCAGTACTCAAGGACTCTTTCTTATCATTCGAAAAAATGCGTTACATTTTCCATGATGTGGGATATACTRAATTGGATAAAGATAGGGTATCTAGTGTATGTATGATTTGGTGGAGTTACAGTTATAGGAGAAATGTTCAAGCTGAACATTTAATATAAACATTAAATGCCAAAGTAAGGGGTAATAAGGTAAAGAAACTATGAAAGAGGAAGAGAAATAGGATGGGAAAGATATTAAAGAAAGAAAAGGAGAAAGAAAAGAAGGAAAGAAAGAAA